GAGGGTGAGTGTGTTTGTGTGTGTGAGAGAGTGTGAGTGTGAGTGTGAGTGTGAGTGTGTGTGTGTGTGTAGCACCGTAATGATTTGGAGAGTCGGTTCAAGGGTCTTTGGAAATTAAATCCTAATCGAGTCTATTTTTACGAACACAAGACAAGCACGGTCTCGTCTGAGGGTTCGCTCAGCCTCCTGCTGCAGTCCTTCATGGGCAGAAGCTCCTGCTGGGTCCTACATCTGTCTGGGTACATGGATGGACACGATTCTCTTCTGTCCACTACACTTACTCGCTGAAAACTGATTATCTTGAGTAAAGGAGAAATCTCCAAATAAATAAGAAGTGTTTGGGTTTGATGATGTGCTGATGTGTGAATGTGGATGGTCTTGCGTTGATGTTCATCTTTGTAATGCCAGAAAGCTGCGGAAGTTCAGAGTCGTTTCTAGATGCCATAAATGCACTTTTTGGACTGGAGAAGAAGTTTTGAGCTCTTAAAGTCTCGGGATGTTTTCATCAAGCTCTTATATTTCAAAATATCTGGTAAAATGTGATTCCTCAAGATGTGAGTATCTATGTTCAAAAGGTTGGGTCAGAAGTAAAATTAAATTAAAGAAATGAATGCTTTTATTTATCAAGGATGCATTAAAGTGACAGAAAAGATTTACATTTCAAATTTTGAACTTTCTGTTCACCTGTGAATCCTGAAAAAATAAATGTATCACGGTTTCCACAAAAATATTGGGCAGCACAACTGTTTTCAACATTGATAATAATCAGAAATGTTTCTCGAGCAGCAAATCAGCATATTAGAATGATTTCTGAAGATCATGTGACACTGAAGACTGGAGTAATGATGCTGAAAATTCAGCTTTGATCACAGGAATAAATTACTTTTTATAATATTCACAAAGAAAACAGTTATCTTAAAATATAAAAATATGTTTTCAATATTGCTATTTTTTTCTGTATTATTGATAAAATAATTTCAGCCTTGGTGAAAATAAGAATTATTTCAAAAACATTTTTAAAACATTTCAATGATACTGTATGTCTCCATTACGATGTATGTGTGTGTGTGTGTGTGTGTGTGTGTGTGTGTGTGTGTGTTTCTGCACCTCTGTGTTCTCAGCCAGATTGTTGAGGGGCTAGCGAGACTCATTTCAAATTAGCAGATGGCTCGTCTAAGAGCACACATTTCATGAACACACACGCTTATCTAGAAGATTTACACGTGACATCTTCATCTTGTGTTACTTAATCTCATTTGTGACGCTTCACATGACGCCGTTGTGAAGTACATACACCTCATGTGTGGGTCTCATCTGCTCATTGTCTTCAAAGATTTAATATAAGAAGTAATTTCAGAAATAAATATGTAAATTATAACTTGCAGTGAATAATACTGCAGTGTAATTATCTCCTGTGGAGGGAGTGTGTGCACTCACCCGCTTTAATAGATGGTGTGTTTCCCTTATAAAGAAGTAAAAACATCTTTAAAAGTCTGGGATTGGTAAGATTTTTAAAATGTTTTCGAAATAAGTATCTTATTGCTTATCAAGGCTACATTTATTTGATCGAAAATACAGTGAGAACAGTAATATTGTGAAATATTCATATTTAAAATAAGTTTTCTATGTGAATATATTGTAAAATTTAATTTATTGCTGTGATCAAAGCTGAATTTTCAGCATCATTACTCCAGTCTTCAGTGTCATATTAGATGATGCTTAACAGTAAGGAGTAGTTCACCCAAAAATGAAGAAGCTGAAAATGTGCTCACCCTCAGGCCATCCAAGATGAAGATGAGTTTGTTGCTTCATCAGGTTTGGAGAAATGTAGCAATGCATCAGTGTCTCAGCAATGGATGCTCTGCAAGTGAATGGGTGCCGTCAGAATGAGAGTCCAAACAGCTGATAAAAACATCACAATAATCCACACCACTCCAGTCCATCAGTTAACATCTGGAGAAGACAAATGTTATGTGATTGAAAAAAATCCATCATTAAGAGGTTTTTTAACTTCAAGCCATTGCTTCTGGTTAAAATATGAGTCCACAATCCATAATAACGCTTAAAAACTCATCTTGTCTGAATCAGGAGAGAAATCTGCGCCGATCAAGCACCGCTTACAAGCCAAAACAGCTCTGAACAAATATGTGGCTGGATTTTGATGTGAGAGACTACAGGAGATTAACTTTTTCACTGGAGGAAGCGTTATTATGGATTATGAACTCGTATTTTAGCCAAAAGCGATGGTTCAAAGTTAAAAATGTCTTAATGATAGATTTGTTTCTTACAAACACTCAAGATGTTAACTGATGGACTGGAGTGCTGTGGATTACTTGTGGATTATTGTGATGTTTTTATCAGCTGTTTGGACTCTCATTCTGACGGCACCCATTCACTGCAGAGC